CAGAGCGCAAACGCAGCTGAGTCGGGCCCCGCGAACGAACACAAACGAGCTCCCTTGTATCTCTCCAGTTGTAGGTTGTGGTCCCTTTCAGCCATGAAAAACAGCTACAGATTGTTCCCAGAGCTAAACCACTTAACATCTTGGCACTTGGTTGTTTTTAACTTCGTAACAATAGGCACTGTTCACTCCTCTCAATCTCAGTTTTTCATTCTATGATAAAGCAGGAATACTGATGAAAGGCTAGTCACGGCTTCTCCCCGTGGTATCAGGGTGGTGGCATGTGATGATTCACATGGGGTGTGTTTGATCCCAGAAAGCCCAGCCTCTGCTTATTCTTCCTTTGTTCTGTCATCTAAGGTGGAAAGGCAGAGAGAGACGAGTTGAAATTTTTTTCCCTTTTTTTTTTTTTTTTTTTTTTTTAGTATTATTTAGCAGTCACAGAGCAAGATACATATAAGCAAAACAACAGGGAGTGGAATTCTTTCCTTCAGCATTGAAAATTACAAGTAAGAGACGCCTTTGAAGTGGGAGATCTGTTTCCTGCAAAGTATGGACATTTTATTCTCATTTGTACATTATTCTTATCCAGCGGCAGGTCTTACTGTGTATTATTTGTGCTGCTATCACATTGCGTAGCCCTGCAGAGGGTCAGCATTTGCACTTGGTGCTGTACAATCACGGACTTAAAAGATGGTCCCAGCCACACAGAGTTTAGATTTAAGCCAGGAGAGAACAGATTCAGCCAGAGAGTCATGAAAAAAACCCCACCAGGACGGTACGGGTAAGCACAATAAGCAATGGTCTCAGTGCATCCAGTCTAAACCTTTGTTTCACAGGAAAAAAGAGTTTTATGGAGGGATTTGAAGGGGGATAATTAGATAACTGTTGATGCCACTGAAGCGCTTCCCATAAAGAAAACACAAAGATGCTTTTCTGAAACTGTAATGAGCAAACCAGAGGTGACCAGTAGCTTTAGTGAAAAAGGAGTTGGCCTTTTGATCCTGAAGTGAGAGAAAACACGCAAGATGGTTTAGGCAGGACTAGGGTTTTAAGTAGGGCTTGTGCTCCATACGGGAGAGAAGGGGGAGCCGTGGGAGGGGTACAAAGACCAGGGTGACACAAGCAAAGCAACAGGCTCGGCAAATTGTTTTTGCAACAGCACTGTTGATATTCGTAGTGAGGGAAAAAGAATCTAAGTGTTGGATTCAGAAAGCTTTTCTGCTGATTCCCACCAGTATGCAGCTATTTTGGATGTTACACCTTTTTTAATGCTGGGTTATGCAGTACCTGCATATGCAAAATCTATGATCGCTTCTGCAGTTTCCCCTCTGTCCTCGCACACTCACTGGGGGGATTTCGTAACTAATTCCCCCTCGGCTTTTCTCCTTACCTGTTCTCTGCTGTTGCTAATGGAGTACAATTTCATTCCAAACCTGTATCAGTGTATCTACTCGGAAAGCTTACTGGAGGGAAAGATAAAACCTTTCTGAGACAAAAGTCTCTTTTGTTAACACTGTCCTGACTGTGAGCTGATGAAAGCCAGCACGTTCACCCACACGCGCTCACATTGCTACCCACTGCGGGGCACTTACCTGTTCCTTGAGCTCAGCGAGCTGACTGGAAAGCTGTTTTACAAGGCTCATGGTTGACTCCAGCCTCTCTTGCAGGTTCCTGATTTCGTTTTGTTCACTGTCGCCTTCATTGCTAACCAGGGACATGGCTCTCATGCGAGGGAACCAGTCCAAATTCTTCTCCTACATGGATATTAGAAAAATTAGTAACGTTAGTAAATTTACGTTAGTAAAGGGTTTATGCAGTGCTACTAAGCTGAGACCAGAGAATGAAAACTCAGAAGGACTTCTACTCAGTGGATGACACACAGCAAGTGAGCTTAAGAAGCAGAAAATTCAGAAAATATTACACACAAGCATTTTTATTCTTGGTTCTCCTTAGCTACAAAGAAGGAATCAACTGGAAAATCTTGGTTGCCCACAGCTGCACCCATATTGCAGCATGGGCAGTGTTGGGCAAATTCATTCATGGCTCCAGCACACAGAAACGCCCGCTGGGTCAGCACTGGGGAGACTTCTCCGGTACAGCAGCACCAGGAAAGCCCAAGTACTCCCTGTGCTTTGCTCTTAAGTGTATGCAGGGACACATTTCCCCACTGTCTCTTCAGCTTGGCTGGTCTCCATCTATTTCAGCTGTCCTTGCGGCAATGTCAGCGAGCCAACATCAGGAAAACAAGACCAGCCAGAGTCCCCTCCAGACTGGCCTGGAGCGTGCTGACTGTGAGAGCAGAGAGACCTTGGATTCAGCAGCCCACAACAGAAGATACGAGGTCCTGGGAATGGCTAACGCATCAGTGTGCTGTTTGGACTGTATACCTTAGGTAGATGCAAGCACAACCCCACGGCCAAAGGCCAACCTGCTAAAGACGAAGCACTACACGGGACAGCACCGAATTGGGTGTTTCTCTGTTCACAGACTCAGGCTATGAATTCAACCAGAATAAAAACACTGTAAATAGATGATAAGGAGTTGGGAAGGTGCTGTGTATCAGCATGAGCCTGAATTGTCTCCATGGCTTGAGGGCACAGATATTTGTGTGCAAAGCGTAACAGATGGAGAGGACTGAAGGGTGCAAGCCTACGAGGAGTGACAACCATGTGGCAAGAAACCCTGTTTGCCTGAAGGCTTGAGGCAAAGGAAACAGATCCTGTAGCTGGTGATGCGTTACATCAACGCACCTCTGCCCTCTGCCCGGGGGGAGTGGGAGGATGTGGTTAGATCATATGCATGGTGTTTTGCAACGGGCCTCTACGAACACGTGCGCTTGATAACTTTAGAAGGGAAACAGAATGAGTTGAAGTGTGTTTCTTCCAGTCTCCTGCACTGTGAATGGCCCCACACAAATAGTATTATATTGAAAAGAAAAGGAGGAAAGAAAAGGAGGAAAGAAAAGGAGGAAAGAAAAGGAGGAAAGAAAAGGAGTTCTTTCCAGAAGCCCACCTACAAGACTCCTGGCAGGCAAGAGCTGTGCTACTTACGTTGTCTGGGCTTGGTATTTGGTAAAGTTTTAAGTGCACCAAACTTACTGTAGTCTTGCACTTTGCTTCACCATGAAAACAAAAAAGCCAGCGATGATTCTGCAGTATTTACAGCCGGGCAGCCCAGGGCAGCCGTATGTGAGCAGGGTCCGCGTGGGCTGGCCTGGCAGAGCTGTGAGCCCTGGGACACGCCAAGGGAATACAGAGTTATTGTGCTTCCAGAGACAGATCTTTCTGCCCTGATCATCAGACTCTCCCCTCCTACAGCAACGTGGTTTAGAAACAACCAAGCTAACCCTCAGTAAGCATGGAAGCACTTATGGTATTCATTTTTTCCCACTATTTGCTTTAGCCCAGTCCTCTCTGTTACCCTGGATAAAACTAAATGCAAAGCTGTAAGAATTTTGGCTCGTTTACTTCTTTTTAACTCAAAACTTCTAACGAGTTTTCATCTGGCTGTGCAACCTCTGGTGCTGTCACTAAACCGACGAGATGTTCAGGGAATGAGACCGTGCCCCTCCGTTGCATTCTGCGGCCCAGGGCTCAGTCAGGCGTGTGCGCTGGTGGAACGGGGCCTCTTTCCTCGCTGCCCACTTTTTGAGCCTCGTGATCTCATTATGACAATTTACTGTGGTTACGCATGATGCCATTTTCAATGGGTCATAACTCATTCAAATCAAAACCTGTTTTCACCAGCTCTGCTGGTGAGCTCGAAAGGAGCGCACGTGACCCTCCCTGCTGGATATCCCCGGCGGACACACGCAGCGGTAGACTCCTATTTCTGCTGCGTGCATTTCTGCTTACAAGACCAGCATTCATTTTCCACGAGTACGCTCTGATACTTATTTTAAATTTATTTTGGCTAGGATCTAGCAGAGCGTTCATCACGTGCCCAGCGCTAAGCACAGGTGTACTCATTTACACTAAGCTTAGTTTGTGCACGGTGCCTGTCTGGATCAATGCCTTTTTTTCGCAAAACCTTTGCCAGCAAATTTGTCTGACACTACAGGCACAGAAAGTTAATTCAAAATAGCTACAGCGAACAGAGCTGTGCTTGTATCTGAACGTTTCCTGGAAGGCTCTGTTATCTGCACCCATTAAAGCTTCTCTTGCTTGAAGCACCTGAAGATACCAAACGCAAGGCTGCGTGGCCATAGAAGCCAGCTGAGGGGCCAGGAGCCCTTTCTGGCAAGGCTCACCGTAACGCCAAAGTCTCTAAAGCCAGAGAGAGCAACCTGAGCCTCCATCATTGCGGTTCTTGTGTTTGCTGAGTGCTGCTGCCAGGATTGTGAAATGCACTTTGCTAGTTTTGTTTTCCATCCGCCACTCCCTCGCTCCTCCAGGACGCAAGGCAGAGACCGCCGACTGCCTTGGGAAGATTTTTGTGGACTGACCCTCCACCGCACTGTAGTGTCCAGAGGAACGCCACACAAACCTGTGTGGATGTCAGATGTCCCAGCTCAGTGGGCTTGCCTCTCTCGAGGCTCCCAGTGTTACCCTCTTCCCTCCTCCTCGGCGCAACATTATACTTTCTGGGAAGAGGGATGACCAGGATCAGGTGAAGACAGGGACAGAGCATGCAGCACCTCACCTGTTGCCATACAATGTGTGGTGTTGACGGTAGGTCTTCGGCTGGAACCACTTTGGACCACATGCCAGCTCATCTCAGCCACCACGAGCTCCAGAATCACGGATGCTCAATGATAGTCACGTGTGCCCAGCTTTGCCTTTTCAGCAACACTGTGATAATCTCTCCCAAGAAAGAAACCCAGTCGTGGTTTAGCTACAAACCAAGAAGATCTGGGTGGTTTTTGCCAAAACATTGCGGAGGATCAAGCCAGGACTTGAGCCAAGTTCTATGAGAAGCTGATGGGTTTGCACGGGCCGGAGATCTCATGAAAAGGTGCTACTGACTTCTATAGCCTTTCCTGGCAGCAGAGAGGCAACAGGTCAAACAGCTGACCACACGTCTCTCATTTGGCAGTCCCAAGTGCTGCATTGGGTGCAGGCAGGACTTTGCTTGTTGGTTCTCAACTGCATACACGTCTAATGATATCCAGTCCAGCTGTGTATCTTTGTCATTCAGTATCAGAGAGATTCAAAATTCTGTAGGTCGGTAGGAAACACATTCTAGCCTGCCAACCTGCCTTTAGGTTAAAAATACTTAACTAGCTTTCACCGATAGTTCCACTATAGTGCACGCAGTAGGTATATTCCTTGGCTGAACTGCACGCTTTTGCCAGCCAATATTATCTTCTTTCTCCATCGCATTATGAACTGCAGAACTTTATTAAAGGGCAGCATGAAAATTAGCTCTGGCGCACAGCCCTATTTGCTGAGTCTGTACCACAAACAAACAGCAGTTGCTGCTGGGGACAAAAAACTTTTGACCGCAAACCTGCCAGGATCCAGAAGGTAAACTGGACAAGTTTCTTCTGCTGAAAATTGTAGTGATCTGTAAGCATTCATAGAGGGACAGGCACTCTGCGACTCCTCAGCTATGGGAAAGCTATTTTTACTTCAGGCTAATTGCTTGCCAATTACCTGGAGGTAGTTAACATGTTTGTACAACCCCAAACGTTTGTTCTGGAACTTAAACGTCTATGGGCTCGGTCCAGGGTTCACCTTGACCAACTAACACGTTAGAGCTGTAACACGCCTCCCCTACGCTGCAGGTGTGCTCCTGCTTGGCCTTCCTAACTGGTGCAGGGATGGGATTTCGCAGGGAGCTACTCGTCACGCCTGAGCTAATACTCTCAGAAATCCAACCATTTTGCCCAGGATAGAGCTCTCCCAGACATTTTGAAGCCAGCCTGGAACCGAGCAGCAGTTTGGATGAGGGAGGTAGGCTGCTGGCAGGGAGCAGGGCAAACCTCTGCAAACAGCTGTCACAGGACTCAATCAGCAGCCACGGGGTTGGCGCGAGGTGACACAGCTCGAGCATAAATGAGCTCGCAGAGGGCGAGGTATGTGGACGGGACGTTTTAAAACGAAGTAGCTGCCTGGACACAGAAGTAATTGTTAAAATGTACTGAAATCTTCTTTCTAAACAACCAGGGCTGAACGCAGTGTATTGTTACTGTTAGTTCATTTTTGCACATGACAGCAGCTATTCGCGGCCCAACTGCAGCAGCCCACCTACGGATCGCAGCATCTTCTCGCTCCACATTCCTTCCACAAACATAACATGAGCTCGTATTTAAGTATACATCTGTGTTCAGGGCAGAGAGTAAGCCAGACAGGAAGGCTGCACGGACAGAAAGGAGCCGCAGCCTCCTCTCCGTCAGTTCAGCTGGGGGGAGGGAAAAAAAAAAAAAAAGGCAAAAGGCAGGTGGGGCTTGCCAAAAGGCTGCGGGCCAAAGAGACTGCACACGAGCAGAGCAGACATTTCATGTGGCGATCCAGCACGCTCGCTCCCGCCGTCCTTCCCCCCTCCGGCTGGCAAGGCTCCAGTGGGAATGACAGCTCAGCTGGGGCGAACACCTCTGCGAGGTACTCTGGGTGCACGCAGCCGCCAGGTGCCGACGGCGCGGGCACGCACCTGGGAAACCACAGGGCTGAGAGCCTTTGCTGCTGGCGTTTTCTGAGAAACCTCAAGCTCTTCTGTTCGGAGAGGCACGTTCAGAGCAAAAGTCTGTGTTTGCCTCCTGGAGTTTTCTACGCGACTTTCTCCTCGCCTTCTGTGGGCTCTCCAGGGGGAGGGC